CCCTCCCATCTCCTTGAACAGTCAGATTTAGGTATTTCCTTCATCAGTTTGAGCTATAAGAAAATCATAACTCAGTTTCTTCTCACCAAATGTTTTGCCCATGTGCCCGGTCTACACTTCCACCAAAAATCATCTAACGCATCGAGAAACCATGTATACTCCTCCTTGTCCAAAAAAATCAACCTTTGGAATCCTCTCCCGTTCTCTGTAATCCGTAGCCCTTCTGCCTTCTTTCCTTTGCAGCATAAATTGAAAGATTTTTCCTCTAAGTAAAGATACCTCCGACCATACGAGTTCATGTGTTAGGGTTTTGATCGGACAAGGCGGCCGACCAAAGGCTGAGCACGAGTTAGGGTTTAGAGAGAGAGAGAGAGGGGGTATGGGTTTAGAGAGAGAAGTAACTTTTTCAGCAATCAGTAAACTCACCCTTCCTCCAATAAAAATCTTCCAAGGTGTCCAGCAACCATTTGACATCCTCCTCTTCCAGCGATATTGTTACCTGAAAGCCTCTCCCATTTTCACAGATCCTCAATCCCTTCATATTTTTGCTCTTACTAACCACGTCGAATGGTTTCTTCTCAATCTTAATGAACTACCTCTCACCAAACATGCCTCCCTCTCTATCGGCTACCCTAGACCCACCCTCACCCTCTACGACAGACTACCTCTTCTCCTCCTTTTCTCTATAACCGGTTTCATATCCTTACTATTGATGACTGTATTAAAAGCTCAGAATGAAATGGCTATGGAGTTCGACAGACAGCTTAAAGACACAGTCGTCATGCTGAGGACTGAGCTCCCAGAGCCTGCAGTTAAGGGTTGATTGTCTCACACTGGTTGTGAAGGGTTTTATGGCTGTTGTTAATGTTACATGGTAGTCATTGCTGGTTGAGCTTGTTTGAAATCTATCCTTGTGGCATGTGGAAGTTATCAATCTTGTTGCTAGGCAGTTTCTGGAATTCGTCAACTTGTTGCAAGGCGGTTCGAAGAATTTGTCAATGTTGTTATGAAGTAGTCCATGGAATTCATCAAAATACAATACTAATTTAAATTTTTTATTTACTTTATTTCAACTTATTTTCTGATTCTGCTGGAGGGGGATTTCAGAGGATAGGAATATTTCCTATATAGTCTATTTGAGAATATTAAGCTAGTTTTCTTATAGTCCGTTCCTATATAATTAACATCCTATGCAAATAGGTATCATTATATTCAGTGCCCTATATAGTTATAAATTCTTTTTTTTGTATTCCTTGATATCTCTGTTAAGATGTATAATTCTTCAACATTCTTCCTTTTCTCTGGACAATGTGTCTGGTCAACTTTTGTGTAGAATTTTGCAATTTCATGTTAACCTTATCTCATCTAGTTTATATAAATAACTTATTTGTTGAGCCAAGTTGATATGAACTTGTAGCTTTGACCTTTGATGGAAGGTACAAAGTTTCATTCAGAAGTTGTAAGCAGTTTACCTTCCTTCTCCATGATTACTATTTCTTCTTGGTACATAATTTTTTGTGGAATTTAATATTCTTTGTCT